TTTGTCCACTTAGTAACTAGTCATTATATATATATATATATATATATATATTCAGTTTCATCGGGGATCACAATAAAGTTAACTTTGTCAGGAGTTCCAAGTGCCGATGATGCCTCAATTGGTCCTTTTCTGGAAAGGTTACATTACAGGATTTTCCAATGCAAATTTCTCCAACTTCGAGATTACAAAAACATATAATGCACGAACGTTTAGGATTTTGTAGTGTTGAACCGTATCGGGAAAGCGTGTTACCAGTAGCAAAAAAGGGGCTACTGCACGACAGACTACCAGTCGCACACCAGAGGTAGTGAAGAAAGTTAAGCATCTTGTTATTGGAACTAATCTCAAAACACATTGATTCTTGAACTGTAATCAAGAAATGCACGCGTATCGTAAATAACACAAGTGTCGAATATTACCCCCCGCCCCACCCTTTACAAAATAATAGCCGTACAGAAAACCAACTGTCGAAAGCTGTACTAGTAGTGTGTGGCATGTAACAAGGCGAAATATATAGCGTCACATTGTGTAAAGCATATACTAAAGCAAAAGTCAAAGATAATTCTTACTAAATTGTTTATGAGAGAAGGTTAGATAAATATTACAGAACATTTCGTGAACTTTTATATAAGAGATTTATGGTGATTGAAGTTTACAGCTAGTATGGTAAGTTAAACATATGGAGATCCTGAAAATGACAAGGTAATAAACTTTTCACAATAAAAGGATGTCAATAAGGTATGGCTCCATTATGACAAGCTATCTAGGCACACATCCAAGTCAACATTTCTTTGACAGTATGTAAGTACAACAGTCACAAATCCAAGTCAACATTTCTTTGACAGTATGTAAGTACAACAGTCACAAATCCAAGTCAACATTTCTTTGACAGAATGTAAGTACAACAGTCACAAATCCAAGTCAACATTTATTTGACAGAATGTAAGTACAACAGCCACACATCCAAGTCAACATTTATTTGACAGTATGTAAGTACAACAGTCACAAATCCAAGTCAACATTTCTTTGACAGAATGTAAGCACAAAGGTTCACTAGTATACCACTTACAGATGCATCTCCTACAGACTCCTGTGCCTTTGGGTTGTCCAAACACGCCCTCGAAAGTCGCCGCCCGCTCACGGTTAATGGGCTGTGGAAAACAACATATAAAGAGGAGGATGATAACACTGACCTCACTGAATTGCGTAAATGCCCCTGCAGTGGCAATTACTGTGCAGATTAATAGTTCATAACCAAGGCCATCATACAGAACTGTCAGTGGTGGAAGAGGAGACTGTAAAGCCCAGTCACTTATCGTTTTATCGTTACCAAAGATCGAATCTTTGAAATAAATTTATTGTGTATGATTACCTGAATATGATAAAGTTTCACCGTGTCTTTCTTCATACATTTCCACATTTTTTTTAAATCAGGTCTACAAGTAATTATTATCAAAACGCTTGTGAACTGTATATACGCTCCATTTTGAATGATCAGAAACTATGTATCCTACTTTTGTTAACCCTTTCCATTAGATCAGTTCAAAAAATCGGTATTTTCTTAAATTATCGATTCATTCGGTGATTTTCAACAGGTGGTATCAGTTTACTCGATCTGTTTAACGTAAGTTTTTCTCTAAGTATATATGTTGTTTTTTTTAATTTTATGATTAAAGTTACAGCTAAAATGTGAACTAGTTGACACAATGCCCTAAATACCTTTAAATACACGCATATTTCATGAAATACATATAGCTTTCCTTTTAATATATGTAATTACTCCATGTCCTTGTTCTAAGTATATTAGTAATT